CGGCTTGTCCAGCAGACAGGGGATGCTTACGCCTCCTAGATACCTGATCTAACTTTTGGAATTTCCAGTGGTTCATGTTTTATGCCCTGTTTTCTGATTTTTGTTTGTGAATTGATCACCGTTTTTTATATTCACCAATTATCAATCAAGAAAACTAACGTGCAAAGAAATTGTACTTGAAACAGAGAAAAAAAGCTCAATGTACACTAGTATTACTCCCGCTCTGATATGAATACATGCTTTCATAAATCACACCATATGACATGTGCCTAAACAAAGATTGTGATAGAATTTCAAGTATCTGCTTTGAATACTAGCTGAGAAAAACACAATGGAAATTAGGTACAGAGAGAAGCATGGATAAATTGGAAGTTGATATTTGATTCTTTAAAAAATGAATCCCACAGTTTGACATGCGTAAACATAGAGAGTGCTAAAATTTCAAGAAACTAAATGAGTAGTTGCTGAGAAAAGGACGACAAAAAATTTGTACAGACATATACACAGGAACTTGGCATCGGATTTGTACAAAATGAATCAAACCATATAACATTCCTTAACAGTGTGATAAAATTTCAAGCATCTGCCTTGAGTAGTTGCTTAAAAAAATTACGAAAGACACACGGAGATAAAAAAGAATTGACATTGAACTGTACAAAATTAAATCCCATCACATGGCATGTCTAGACAAAGAGTGTGCTAGAATTTCAAGCATCTGTCTTGAGCAGTTGTTGAGAAAATTGTGACAAAAATTTGGTTCGGAAAAACGCACGGACATAAAGAAGTTGGCATTGGGTTTGTACAAAAACATAAAGCTAATGGCCATGTTTTGTTAAATGTGTGCTAAAGTTTCAAGCATATTTCTTGAGTAATTGCCAAGGAAACTGCGACGAAAAATTGTTATGGAGGACACACAAGACAAAACAGTAAACATCCTCTTTGGAGCAGCGGTTTAAATAAAGGAGGTGTAGCGATTTTGAGTGTCACATATTTTATTTTACTAAATTCATGTTTTAAAAACTTACTGCAGAGAAACCACGACTTCCTGATAGTAAATAATTATCCAGGTTTTTCTTCATATTAAAAGATCGCTGGTCGCGCTGTGAGAACCCAATTCCATAAATTGCAAAAATATATACTGTAAACATGACAAGACTGGTCAATGCTGATCTTGCTTGAGATTCTTCCCGACTTTTCCTTTTTAAGTCGTTAATCTCCTCTTTGGTAAATGGTTTGATTTTTGGTAAAACGTTGGATGCTAAGCCTGAATTTTTAAAAAAATGTCAAAGGAATTACCAAACATTGTGGAAACATTCATACACATTCATACTTGTGATAAATATTGTATCACATTATTTCAGCAAGAGGTATAGGACGAATGCAACATAGAGAAGAAAATGTAAAGAACCTACTTGACTCGAAAGAATATTAAACACGTTTATGGCAACATATTTCTCATTTCCTCGTGCACTTCTAGCTGCGCACAACTCGTAAATAAGCCAAGAATTTTTTTTCAATATTTCAAACATTCTATTTTATTCTGTATATACCAACCTGAAATTCTTGATTCCTGGCATAATCTATTATCCTTGGACATCAACCGTAGTTTGTCTACATTTATTTTGGGAGGGTCTTCGCTTGCCAAACTTTTAAGAAAGGTCGAATAAATTACTGCAAAAAATATTACTTTCATTGGGTCAAATACTATGAACGATTCCAAAAATGAAAGCGCAAGTGATGAAATCCATTCTTCTGATTTTGCTTTACCCCACTCCATACTGTAGAGAATGAGAAAAAAGACTGATGAAATGATAGCCAAAACAACACTGATCCATGCTATATAAAGCACCCAACGTGGTAAAGTGCCTTGGTGTGGTATAAATACCTCGTCATCAAGTTTAGAAAAGACTTTGTAACGGTCTTTTCTTAATTGAGAAAATTTGCGACTTCTTGGATTGTTGATTCTGTTTTCCACTAATTTAGAGTTTCTAATGTTTCTAAATATAAAGGCTGCAAAAGTAACAGGTGGGGTTGAGATAAGCATTCCAATACATGATACATAGAATGTTCCAAATGATAATCGTAAAATTCCAAATTTTACTTCATCAACATTTTGGTTTTCATCAGACGATCGAAAGAACATTGCATTTGATATCATGATAAGACAGATTAAGGCAAAAAGGCATGAGAGTCTTTGAACACGTGTGAATTTGCCTTGTGGGTGAAAGAGCAAAGAAAGCCATAAATGATATACGGACATTAAGCTTTGAACTTCCAAAGATATACGATCATTAAAAGAAATTGTGTCTGGGGTTGATACTGGAATAATGCGATCCAACAAGCAATCTTCATCTTCAACACCTAACCACTTGTTGCAATGGAAAGTATATCTGAAATCAAATTAGAAGACATAGAATATTTAACTTATCACATATTCATTATCTTTGTATATCAGGGAAAAATCGATTTTGCAGTTTCCAAGTCATATACTACTTTCGCTAACAAAAAGCATGTGTTCACTTCTGTTTTTACCAGGTCCAGTCCAAAGACTATTTCTACCTACGTAGCTATCAATAGCTACCTAGGTATTTAAAGCTACCCAAAGTAGCTATTTTTACCTACTTTCTGCTTTACTTCCATTTTGTGACCAAATGCAGGAACGGCGCAACATGGTGAGCACAGAATTTTTTAATACAGTCACACTGATGATCAATATGAGAAAAAATTTGCCAAAAAAATGATTACTTCGTATATTATCAATTTTGCATAGAAACTAATGCAAATTTGCCAATTCAGGAAGTAATCATTTTTTGACCAAAATTTTATCGTATTCATCATTAGAGTGACTGTATCAAACGATATGGTATTCACCATGTTGCGCCGTTTGATCTTTGTGCCGCAAAATGCAGAAATTATAAAAAGTAGGTAAAAATAGCTACTTTGGGTAGCTTTAAATACCTAGGTAGCTATTAATAGCTACGTAGGTAGAAATAGTCTTTGGACTGGACCTGTTTACTGTATTTATCAATTTACAATAATCGTTTTGGAACATCAAATTCGAGACATTTTTAAAGTATTTTAAACTTTGGTTTGTGTGGTAACTGTAGCAAACAGTTTTAAAGTACAGTACGTATCAAGTGATTAAAAACATGATAAAAATGCATTTAAAAAAACAAAAACAAAATTGCCTCTCTAAGGCAACCGTCCGAAGAAATATCAATGATCAAATTGACCGTAACGCTATATTTGTCATATTATCTTATGTCACACAGTGCACATACCTGTAGACTTGTCTGTTAAATGTAGAAGAAAACATACTGTATATCGGCATAATAAACTATTCTGAATAGATGGTTAGGGGTCAAATTAAGGGACATGAGTTCAAAAATATAGGGTTAAAAGACAGACAGACGGAGAGAAAGACATTGGGTAAAATGAAGTACCACTCTGCCTTGCAGTCGTCGTGAAAATATATAGACGTGTGTTACCTTTCTTGCTTTTCCAAGTCATCGACTGTAATTTTGCTTAAAAACCAACTTTTAAAGCCATATGACCCAGAGTTGTCATGCCATATCCGCATGTATATTAAATCTCCCAGTGGTGCATTGGTTCCAAAAAAGTACATGTTGACACTTGATGTCGAAAATCCCTATAAACATATTTTTTGTTGTAAATATTGCACACAAGTGTCTTTGGTAATTTGATAAACACATAAAACCCATTCGCGTTCATAGCAGAAGTTATGCATGCTTTAAAAGTCATGTTCATGAAAGAGTTATTTATCAGTTTGTAAAATAATCCAAGCATTGAAAACCAGAAGTCTCTGTCGAGACTGTAGCTCTACTGGTTTGTTCTTATAACAAAGGATGAGAAAAGAAGCCATTGACATCAGACCACAACTGTAGAAGGAGTAGTTTTGAAAAGGAATTTCACACATTTCCATTTTAGTAACAATGACAACACCGTTCATCAAAATTAAAAACCAATGCACTGTTTTATGTATCTTAGTATAGTCTACTTGTATGCCAAGTTATATTGAAATCAGATCATAACTGTAGGAGGAGTTTAAAGGAATTTTACCGAAAATTCTATTTTTAGTAACGATGGCAACACCGTTCATCGAAATAAAAAACCGATGCACTAATTTATGTATCTTAGTATAGTCTACTTGTATGCCAAGTTATATTGAAATCAGATCAAAATTGTAGGAGAGGTAGCGTTTTAAAGGAATTTCACCGAAAATTCTATTTTTAGTAACCATGGCAAAACCGTTCATCAAAATCAAAAACCGATGTACTGCTTTATGTATCTTAGTGTAGCCTACTTGTATGCCAAATTATATTGAAATCAGATCATAACTGTAGGAGGAGTAGCGTTTTAAAGGAATTTCACCGAAAATTCTATTTTTAGTAACCATGGCAACACCGTTCATCGAAATCAAAAATTGATGCACAATTTTATGTATCTTAGTATAGTCTACTTGTATGCCAAGTTATATTGAAATCAGATCATAACTGTAGGAGAAGTAGCGTTTTAAAGGAATTTCGCCGAAAATTCTATTTTTAGTAACCATGGCAACACCGTTCATCGAAATCAAAAACCGATGCCCTATTTTATGTATCTTAGTAGAGTCTACTTGTATGCCAAGTTATATTGAAATCAGATCAAAATTGTAGGAGGAGTAGCATTTTAAAGGAATATCACAGAAAATTCTATTTTTAGTAACCATGGCAACACCATTCATCGAAATCAAAAATCAATGCACTTTTTTATGTATCTTAGTGTAGTCTACTTGTATGCCAAGTTATATTGAAATCAGATCATAACTGTAGGAGGAGTAGCGTTTTAAAGGAATTTCACCGAAAATTCTATTTTTAGTAACCATGGCAACATCGTTCATCGAAATCAAAATCCGATGCACTATTTTATGTATCTTTGTGTAGTCTACTTTTGTGCCAAGTTGTATTAAAATCAAACCAAAACTGTAGGAGGAGTAGCGTTTTGAAAAATTGTTTACAGACAGACGGACGGACACACATTTGGTTATATATTGGGTACATCAAGTCCAAGTCCTATTGGATACTGCTTATTGGATACAAAAAAAGTGTACACACGAGAGAGCATTATTTGGGTAGTTACTGTTAAAATCTTATTGGATATTAATCCTCGTGTCCGTATTTTATTGGGTTTTTTATTTATTGTTTTTTATTCATTTCAAATTTATTATATATTTAATATTTGCTGGTAAATTCAGACAAGACTGAAAACCTTTGGTTTTGAACCCATATTTTTGTCAATTTCTGTGATATAGCTCTTTTATTGTAACACCTAACTAATTTGTTCTTAGCAATAAGGATATACACCTGTATATTTCAAAATATCTAATATTAAAATATATGAATACTTAAGTGCAAAAAAACTGAATTGTGAAAACACAACTCAACATATCTCAGACTCTGTTCAACCTTTCTTGAATAACAAAATTAAGTATTTAAGGAGAAACCTTTTTGAGTCATGACCAATTAATAATAAGCAAATGCCTATTACATGTTGGACAGAATGAAGGTATCCAACAGGCATTGGACAGGTGTCCAATACCTTTTGGGTTGTATTTTGACGAAGGGATTAAACTACCCAAGAACAATTGAACATGTGTACATTGTCCAATTCTATTTGGGTTTCTTGAATCTCCTTATCAAAATACAACCCAACAGGTAATGGACACCTGTCTGAATCCTCTTGGATATCTACATCCCACCCAACAGTTAATGGACACTTGTCCAAATATTCTTGGGTTTCTTGAATTGTTTCATCAGAATACCACCCAACAGGTAATGGACATCCGTCCAACTCCTCTTGGATATCTACATCCCACCCAACAGGCAATGGACACTTTTCTAATTCTTGGGTTTCTTGAATTGCATCATCAAAATACAACCCAACAGGTAATGGACACCTGTCCAACTCCTCTTGGATATCTACATTCCACCCAACAGGCAATGGACACTTGTCTAAGTCTTGGGTTTCTTGAATCTCCTAGTAAAATACAACCCAACAGGTAATGGACACCTGTCCAACTCCTCTTGGATATCTACATCCCACCCAACAGGCAATGGACACTTTTCTAATTCTTGGGTTTCTTGAATTGCATCATCAAAATACAACCCAACAGGTAATGGACACCTGTCCAACTCCTCTTGGATATCTACATTCCACCCAACAGGCAATGGACACTTGTCTAAGTCTTGGGTTTCTTGAATCTCCTCATAAAATACAACCCAACAGGTAATGGACACCTGTCCAACTCCTCTTGGATATCTACATCCCACCCAACAGGTAATGGACACTTGTCCAATTCTTCTTGGGTTTCTTGAATTGTTTCATCAGAATACCACACAACAGGTAATGGACATCTGTCCAACTCCTCTTGGATATCTACATCCCACCCAACAGCCAATGGACACTTGTCCAATTCTTCTTGGGTTTCTTGAATTGTATCATCAAAATACAACCCAACAGGTAATGGACACCTGTCCAACTCCTCTTGGATATCTACATCCCACCCAACAGGTAATGGACACTTGTCCAAGTCTTCTTGGGTTTCTTGAATTGTTTCATCAGAATACCACCCAACAGGTAATGGACACCTGTCCAACTCCTCTTGGATATCTACATCTCACCCAACAGGTAATGGACACTTGTCCAATTCTTCTTGGGTTTCTTGAATTGTTTCGTCAGAATACCACCCAACAGGTAATGGACATCCGTCCAACTCCTCTTGGATATCTTCATCCCACCCAACAGGCAATGGACACTTGTCTAATTCTTGGGTTTCATGAGAATCCCCTCATCAGAATACTACCCAACATGTAATGGACACCTGTCCAATTCCTCTTGGATATTTTCATCCCTTCAACAGTATATAAACTAAAAGGTATTGGACATTCTTCTTGGGTTACTCAAATTTTTTTTCATAAGAAAGAAAACCCAATAGGTATTGGACATTGGTTCAACTCTTCTTGGATATTACATCCCAACATTAGAATAAAACCCAACAGGTGATGTTTACCTGTTCAATTTTTCTTGGGTTACTTATACCCTTCATTAAAATTGTCAAATTTGTCTTGGATATTTATACTCTTGCATTAGATTGCAAACCCTATAAGTATGACATTTACCTTCCCTAGTTGAACTCAAATTTATCTGCATAAGCATACATAAGTCCAAAACATATTTAATACTTTAATTCTAACATTCCACATCTCATTCAGTGTAAACTTTACAAATGATAAGAAATATATAAGCATTTTGTGCCTAAACTATTTGGCTTTTAAAGAATTTTATAACCATGTTTGCAAAATTTAAATTAAATATTGGAACTTAGAGCAAGTCATTACAGGTAGAGCAAGATGCTGAAAACCATATTGATAAATAGATCACACCCTTGATGAAATATTTGCCTTCAGTTGATAAGATTGTGTTGTATTATATGGAAAATTTCTATAATCCTGTTTATTACAGATACACGTACAGTGCATATTTTCCCTGTAATAATAAAAATACTTTGAGATGTAAAAGAATGGATTAAATAGTCACCGATGTTAAAAGATATTACATGATCTCATTAATCTGGTTCGGAAATCACAAACTTAGTTTTGAAGCCGATAAAACAGTGTCGCACCAGAAAACTCAGTTACAAGTACAATGAATGCATTCGTTGTATCAAAACTTTAAAATAATTGATGCACTATGTCCAAATCTTTTCGACAAATTGGGATAAAGATATTAAATCAAATCATCACTGTTATAAGTCTTAGAGCTAGAGAAAAGTCATTACATGCCCACATTTTACATGTAAGACCTTGATCCTATATTTCAATAAATGTCAAAATGGTTTTATTTTTGTTTCTGTTCAATACTTTCTTCTTCAGGGTCTCTCATGGCCTATACTGAATGATACCTCCATTGACCCTGCTCTTCTATATTGCCATATGTTTATCCAGTAGCAGTGCTATGCTCAGGCAATCTTTGAACTATTCCTCATTTCACGCATCTCCTTCAGTTCTGCCTCTGTCCATTTTATTCATTCTGCAATTAGATAAAGGCATTTCTTTGCCATATAAAACATGTTTTTCTTAACTACAGCAAGATCACCCTTTATGTTGATCAAACCCAACCAAGAAGTAGTAGTATATTTCTTATTCAGAAATATGTATTGATAAAAAAAATGGAAGAAAAACTAAATTCTATCAACTCTTTTTTTTTCTTCTATGTCTAACTGCATCTTCATCCCACCCCCATCCGCCATAATTTTATCAAAATGGAATCATCATTCAACACACAAAACAATGTTGCCTATTAATTAGACAGTGTGTTAGTTTCTGGTTGTTAAGAAGGAGGTTTTAAAAAGATTTTACACCTATTCCTTTTACACCTATTCCTTGCAAATTTTAGACTTCTAATGTAATACTATCAGGACATTAGGGGTACATAATCTTCAAAATCATCTCTACACTTAATGATAAATAATATACTTTTTCACATAATTTCACATAAGTATTGTTTGTAGCCCAATGGTTCTGCTAAAGAGGATTTAAAATTGACCCAAACCTTACTAACTGCTTTGAAATTATATTGACAGGGACTGAG